CAGTTGCAAGTCAGGTATCAAGGTTTTTCACTGGTTAAAACCAATAAACGCATGATGTTGTACATGGGAGACATGGGATTTGAAGGGTTAAATAAATACATTATATATGCATTGTCTTTTGATAAGGATCCGAGTAACAGCTAAACTAGCAGCCTTAAACATATGAGTGTTAGTTTATAAAAGCAATGGTGCAGTAATCTGAAAATAACTCACACTGTCCAGCCTACTTTATAACATGGCCATTATAAAAAGTGTATTATTGTTATATATATATTCTACTATCTCTTTATACTTTCTTATAGGTTACTTTCACTTTATTTATTTCTGCTTCCTTTCAGTCTTTTTTTAATAAAATGTGGTTTTCTGCTCAGTGTTTCCCCACCATGATTGATAATAGCTTAATTTGAGTGAGAGATCCTGAAGGAAATCCTTGCCGAGGAGAAACCCTCTAGTGAAAAGAGCACTTTCACATCTGGCCAGTTGCACTGGACAGCTGCCTGGTCTGCTGCAGTCAGTATCGCTGTGAATAACCATTTCCCTGATCCATCAAACTCCTCAGCTTTGGAGTAGCTGTGTTTTTGTTGAACCGTCTTCATCACCTGTCCGTCTCTCTGTGAGCGTCAAGCAGGTAGAGAGACCTGGGCGAGCTTTCTGTGGCTGACATGTCTAATAGTTCTTGGCCAGAGCAGCAGCAGCAGCAGCAAGTAAGAGGACCTGAAATTAAACTGTGAGAGGATTATCATGCTGCCAGATGGTGTCTGGAGTTACCTGTAGAAAATTACAGATAACCATCCTCCTTTAAGCCCATGAGAGCTGTGAGCAGGACGGCAGTAATGATGCTGTTTTTAACAATGTGGTAGCTCAGTTAGCTTTGCTAGCTTTGAGCAGTGGTTTTGTTTTGAGGGAGGGTTGGTCAACAGGCTTTGGTTTCATTGCATTCATAGAACAATGACTTCCACTTGAAGTTGTTCCGTGGTTTGGCTGCCTCTGACACTTCTGAGAACAATGGCTGTTTTCATAAACAAATCAATTTCAGCCACATAAACAGCGGGGCTTATGTTTTCATAAATTACAGTGTATGATTCATAAAAATTGCAGGCCCGTTTGAGAATCTCCAGAGATTGATTTCTTGATGAAAGCGCTGCTTTGCATCCAGATGACGTTGAGCAGTGACAGGCGCCACTGTAGCTGTAAGTAGCGCTGTTGCAGAGTGGATGTCAAGTATGTCCTCCTCCTCGGCTGCTGCCATGTATCAGCGCAGTTGCCACCCTTTCCACACCGCAGCGGCTTGCATGCAACTTCCAAAATCCACGTGTTTTCAGGGCGGCAGGAAGGAAGAACTTTCAGTCATCAGTCAGAGGACAAGGGAACTCTTTCAGAATGCCACATGGGCCTGGGTAGAGCATGTGTTTATATTTACTGTACGTTATGAGGGCTTGGGCACATGCCACCCCGCTGTTTCACTCTGGGCACCAAAGTCTCACTCCACCCAGCTCCAATTAAGGAGCACAAGGAGCTGTTTGATTCCCTTTATAAACCCAACATGACAAATAACTGTATTGTATATTGTTTGATCCCCCCTTCAGCTGCTCTGTACAGCACACCACCGCTGTGCCATTGACTGCTCTGTGTTATGTCTGTTCTGAGAAAGTAATGATTTGTATAGACCATTGCTAACGAAATGTGAATTGTAAGACTTCTGCGAGGCTGGGACGTAGCCAAGGCGAGTGGAGCTTGGGCGTTGTGAGAGTTGGAGAGGGGTACTGGGTTTATGGTCGGGGTGGTTTTGGAGAAGAGGTTTTAGGCTGAGTTGTTTAACTCAGATAATATTGGATATTATCCAGCACAGTGGGCCAGGGAGTTAGAAACCATATTGTGCTCGCTGAAATTTGGTAGGAGGGGAACTGGAGAGTAACTGCTGCTGAAGTTTTTCATTGGATCGGTGCAGGCGTTGCGCAGATGTTGCCCTATAACTCTGGAACATTCTGTGGTTATCAATTACATTCTGCGGTTATCAATTATCCGGTACACTCTTTTCAAACAAAGGCATCCCACGCATTCAACTTTTCAAAGCTCTTATTTTTTCAGCTTTTGAGAAGTTTCCTGGCAATAGGTAGCTGGGCACAGAAAGCAAAGAGCTAAATTTAATTTTTCTATCTCTCTGCATTGATGTGAAAAATGATGTGAGTCAGAGAGAGAGAAAGAGAGAGAAAACCAGACAGATGAGGAGAAACAGAGAGAGACATAGAGGGTGATCTGAAAAACATGTTTACCTCCTGTGGATCGACATCGGCTGCAAAGGCTTCCCTTCTGGAGAGGTTCCCACATTGAAGAGAGGCTCCCACATTGAAGAGAGGCAGCGAGAGACAGAGTAGGAGAGAGAATAAAAAAGACAGAGACAGACTGGCAGATTGAAGTTTTAGTCAAACAAACATTTTTTAGAGACAGAGCTGCTTTCATGGAGGAAGAAATCATCTCATTGGTTGAGCTGAACTTCAGTGGGTGAAGTTTTCTGGCTTACTGATCACATCTCGCTCTGAATTTGGGAGATGTTTTAATCAGAATAGGATAGAATAAAGCAAGTGTTTTCAAGAAGTGAGAAGTTGACTTGGTATACACAGCATATGCCTTTGCAACATAAAACTAAAATGGACACTGTGTGCCAGCAGAGATCCTGTACAACTTCCTGTACGACAGACTGTTTTCCTTTTCATTTCTATTGTTTACACATAGGCTTCCTTACAACATGGTTTGCAAATGTTATATTTGATTCATAGTACCACAAGCTAGCCAGATGTCTGCACCTTGCTGTGCCCCAGTCACAACTGTCCCAGAAAACACTGTGCTTTTGTTTTAGCTAGCTTTGTATTTGTTTAAGCACATTTTTTCTGAGGTTTGAAGCTGCAGAATTTGGGTTATCTGTCACCAGTAATCCATTGTTCCTTGTCTTTATAATAAAAGGGAAAAGTCTGGTTTGCTCTGGTCCGTTAAGATGCATTAAGATGTTAAAACATCAAGTCCCACCAGAAAAATCGCCCTTGATCAGAAAAACGAATCATGTCGTAGTGCCAGAAGGTTTTAAGTTTTCACACCGTAAAACTGTTTCAATGTATCTGCAATATCTATGGCCCCTAGTGCGTAGTTCTTCTGATTTCTAATTGCAATACAACTGCAGACCTTTTCTCCAGCCTTGTGCAGCCGCAGCAGACTCTTCTGTTCTGTCTCCAAGTGCTATTTGAAATACTCAGACACAGAGAAGAAAATCTTGCTAAGAATGGAGGACGCTAAAACCATAATTGTGTAATTATCAGCAACTGCACTGGAAAAGTGACCAAATTAGTATTGTATAGTATACTCAAAAAAGTCTATGGATTTACGAAACTGAGTGTTCATGAGATTGAAAACATCTCCAGAATCAACAGCTGTTCATTTACTTGTCCATTACAGATACAATACAGTACGATGCGATACAATACAATATGATATGATACAGCACAATACGATAAGATACAGTACAATACGATACATTACAATACGATACATTACAATACGATACAATAAAATACAGTACAGTACGATATGATACAATACGATACGGTACAATATGATACGATACGAAACAGTACAATACCATACAATACCATACAGTATAATACGATGCAGTACGACACAACACAATATGCCCAAGTGTCCCCATAGGGAAATTTGTCTTGCATCCAAAGGCTGCCCCTTATTTTTGGTTATTGGCATTAAAGCCCACTGTATCCCTGCTCTTTGGTGAGCAAATTGTGTGCACAAATTTTAGAGATTTGGCCATAATTCTGGTTTAGTTTTTACCTTTGGGGATAAAGGGATTCCTCTCTTTTGATATTACTTCACCCTGAAGAGCAGCAGCTAAAACTTAAATCCACAAGAGATCAAAACAGGTTTCCAGTGTCTTGTCAGGCATAATAGAAGTTGTCAGTGCCAAGTTGCACCTCACCTCACCTCACAACTCAGAGTGCTACCCCATCCATCTGCACCATGCTGTCTGCTCAATTCACTTTCTCCACTTATCAAACTGCAGACAGCCTGTTGAGCAACACAGCACACATCTCTGTTAATTTTCTTCAAGAAAGTTTGTCCACAGCTGACCTTTTTTCTTTAAACTGCAGTTTCCTTTCCACGTAAAGTCATTTTTACAGTCATTAATGTCTTTTTAAGGCCTTGTTAATGAGTCAGGGGTCTAAAGAAATTGCAATGGTTTCCTTCTGTGTCTAATAAATTGGTAAAAATATAGTTTTACTCACACCTCATTGGGCAAAATGACAAATCAAACATGCTTTTTTTTTTAACAGGCTTGTGTTTTCCGACAGCTCACATGATGCCTCGTTTTATTGCCTGATGGGAAAACCTCTTTATTGTGGCAACTTTAAGGAGAAAAAAACACATTACCAGAAAAAAAAGAGCAAATACCAATACCATTTAACAATCATTATATGGGGATAACAGAAATATTCCTATGAGAACACAAGAAATAAGAAAGTTTTGAGAGTCGAGGCGAGCTGTCAGTTTCCAGTCGCTGGTGTATTAACGAGCAGACCAGCTGCTCGAGCATGTTGGGATTCCACACAACGATGAAGTCAAGGTTTCTCTCATCCACCAAAGATGTCCCTCATCTCTTTGGTATGACTCTGGTTTTTTTAGGATTGCATCAGATTTCTCTCTCTCTTCTACTCTCTCTCTCTCTGTCGTCTCTCTTTCTGCCTCAGGATTGTTAGACTGAGGATATGAGCTCATGAGTGGCAGGTCAGACAGTATGACGTGTGCAATACCCTCAGCTCTCTGTAGCTGTTTTATATA